CGGATCTCTGTACCCAAAATATACTTTGTTTTTTTTCACTTTCTTTATTAAACACACTGGCCGATCCCACCAAGGCGGGTCCCCCAAAAGAAAAACTTTCACCCATCATTCACTCCATCACTGTCTTGCCAGAAGGGTGCTTTACACTACAGTTTTTAAACTGCAACATTAACACTCCCCCTTCAGAGTGCAGGCATGTACTTCCCATCTCCAGGGACTCAAGTCCGGCCTGCCGGTTTCCCTGAATCCCTTCATAAATATTACTTTGTTCACACTCCAACAGCATGTCAAGTATTAAAAACCATTTGCCTCCATTCCACTCCTTTCAAATACGCTCACGCAGCCCGCGTAAGTCCAACCCCCTCGCACACAAAACCTTCTTTCCCCCTCCCTCCAACCTTTCCTAGGCCTACCCCTACCCCACTTCCTTCCACTACAGACTGATACACTCTTGAAGTCACTCTGTTTCGCTCCATTCTCTTACATGTCCGAACCACCTCAACAACCCTTTCCCCTCCCCCTCTGGACAACAGTTTTGGTAATCCCGCACCTCCTCCTAACTTCCAAACTACGAATTCTCTACATTATATTCCACACCACACATTGCCCTCAGACATGAATCCCCACTGCCTCCAGCCTTCTCCCGCTGCAACATTCATCACCCACGCTTCACCCCCATATAAGAGCGTTGGTAAAACTATACTCTAAATTCATTCCCCTCTTTTGCCTCGAAGGACAAAGTTCTTTGTCTCCCAGACTCCTAAGTGAAACCACTCACCCTTTTCCCCTCATCAATTCTATGATTCACCTCATCTTGTTTTTTTATATGCAACTAATTTTATGTTGTACATAACATGTTTATGCTCTACAGGAAGCATTAGAGGAAAATTATGATAACATTTCGATTCGTCCTGGATCTGATTCAAATTATGATAAAGCGAGAAATTTGCAGTGAACCGAGAGACAGGTTGAGAAGGGAGTAGTTTGTATAGTAGTAGTAGTAGTAGTAAGTAGTAGTAGTAGTAGTAGTTAGTATGTATAGTGTAGTAGTAGTAGTAGCAGTAGTAGGGAGTGCAGTAGTAGTAGTAGTAGTGTAGTAGTAGTGTAGTAGTAGTAGTAGTGTAGTAGTAGTAGGGGTAGTTAGTAGTTTGTAGTGTAGTGTATAGTTGTAGTAGTAGTAGTAGTGTAGTAGTGTAGTTTATGTGTAGTTGAGTAGTAGCAGTGTAGAGTAGTAGTTGTAGTTTTTAGTATTTAGTAGTGTAGTAGTAGTTAATGTTAGTAGTATAGTAATGTAGTATTATAGTAGTATTAGGTAGTGGTATTGTAGTAGTTTTTAAGTATGTGTAGTTTTTAGAAGTGGTAGTAGTAGTAAGTAGTGTAGTATGGTAGTTTTTGTTTTTTTATGTAGTAGTAGTAGTAGTGTATTAGTTTTTTAGTAGAGTTAGAAAGTGTTGTGTAGTAGTAATGTAGAAAAGGGAAAGTATATATATTTAGTATTAGTGTATATAATAGTATAGTATTTTATAGTATATATAAAAATTTAGATAAATTTGAAAGTAGTAAGTTAAGAGTAAGAGTTATATTTTTATAGAAGTATTATAACTTATATAATGTATAGTGTTATTGTATATATAGTATACTATATATATATTTGCGTATATATAGGAGTTTATATTGGGGGTAGAGATTTGTAGAGTAGAAGTAGAAGGAAAAAGCAGTAGAAAAACATTTTAAATTTTACTATATAAATAAAAGAATTAAGTGATAACTAATAAGATTTTTTAAAATTTTATTTATACCCAGTATACTAAAAATAAAAATAAAAGGAAACCAGTAGGATCTCAATCCTGAAGGTTCGGCCATTGACATAAGAAAAACCAAACACAAATAAACTAACACAAATGATTGCACCCATATATGCAAAGTATAGCTGTATAACATACAACCCAAAAACTTACGGCAAAACATGCTACCAAATAAACACAGTACAGGGCATGAACTGACATAATATAAACATTTCAATGACTCAAAACCTAACTTACAATAAATTTTAACTATAACATGACATATGACAAAATCCCCTTACAAGTGAAAATAATATATACGAGAAAAAGTAACAAGTTTTCTTCCCGCCTTTCATTAATCAAAAACCCAAAACCTAACATCATAACCTAAATAGAACATCTACATTATTATCCCTAATTACAGCTTTACTTACCAAAAAAAAAAAAAAAATACAAAGAAAACAGTTAATCTCAAAGGTCATTTCATTTAAATTAAACCCGTAACAACAAACTCAGAAAAGGGAAAGCGTCTATAAACTTCTAGATTATCTGTATACCATACACAAAATTCGTCAAAAACTAGCCATGAAAACCCAAATCAGGTGCGACCTATAATAATCCAAAAAAAACAATTAAAACAAAATCGAAAAGGGAAACAAGAAGCATGTTGAATACCTATAAACCTACCACAAAAACCCCAAAATACTGTGAGATGTCCCTTTCACACATACACCAATGTAGTGAAAAAACCCCTACTTACATATTATATGCAATCCTTTGAAAAACAATGGGGAAAAAAACATTATCTTAAAAACTCCCCAGCCCAAATCACATCACAAAAGAAGCTTTTTGGTATTATATTCCCAAAAACATACCACCCCCTTTTAAAATCTATAACATCCCCCATACCCCAAAAAAAACTACCCCCGAGGGAAAACCCTTATTTACCTTAAATTCCTTAAATCCTTAAACCCTGAATCAAAGGATCCCTTCAGTAAATGCTTTCTCCATTTTCCCCCCAATAAAGATCCTTTGCGGCATTTTTGTTCTTACTCGGGGGCCCTAAACTTTATCCTTTCCCCCGACCCCACCTCCCTCATTCCCCAAGATAAAATAAATAAACCCAGGACCACATAGGGCAACCCTTTTCACCCCCTGCTGCCCTCCCCCACCTATATCAAAATTAAACCCCGCCAAACCCTGAAAACCCTTTCCCCAACCCACTAACCTAATACCCTATTAGCCGGGTTCTAATTTTTCTAAACAAGTACAAAAGTCCCACGCTAAAAAAAAGGGGTTTTCCCGGACATCCCACGCTTTGCCCCTCCCCACCCCCCCCTTTAAATTCCTATTAAAAAAACAAACCCCGGGGACGGAAAAGGGATCCCATGTAAAAAAAAAATTAAACCTCCCCTGACATTTTTTTTTTAAACCCCGTAGTTTTTTGAAGACATTTCCTTACAAAACCCCATGAAAAAAATTGGGTATCCCCCCTCAACGGCCCCCCGCCCCACAGACCCACCCCCACCTCCCCAAGAACTTCTTTTTTAAAGCTTTTTGGGATCCCTTCCTTTCATTTAAAACCTCGAAACTTTAGCCCCCCCAAACATTAAAATTTTCCTCCCCCTCCACATTTTTGCATATCCATGCGCAGTCTTTAAGGGCCCCCCCCGCAAACCCCCCCCCTCCCCCAAAAACCCCTTTTCGAAACACATCAACATACGTTCTAAAGGGGTTTATTTAGAACCCCCCCCCCCCCCCCCCCCCCGGTAACGGGAAGCGCCCCAACCCTCTATTACCCAAAGTCCAACCGGACCCCCCTAAAAATTGAATCCCCGCATTTTGAAAAACTTTTGCACCTCACCGTCGTAAGGGGATTTTTTCCACCACTTGCCTTTACTTGCTAACAACAGGACATTGGACTTAAACCCCTTGATGAAAACGATAAGGTTGCCCTCAACCCTTTCCCAATCTTTTCAAACTCCATCACGGTGCCCCCTCAAATTTTCCCTTTTCTTTTGCACCCCTACCCTTCCCGCATGTCCATACCCCACAAAAAAAACCCAGCGTATCCCACCGCCACCCCCCTCAACAGTCTCCCCATTAAGTCGCTATCCCCTAGATCCAAATACTTGGATTTTTACTACTTTAAATTTTCACCCCCGGTGGCCCCCCCCCCCCCCCCAAAAAGTCTATCCCCCTTTTCCTCCCCTTTTGTAAATCCCTCAACCCCTCCCAAAAAGACATTGTATCTCCACGAAACCCCCTTTATACCCTTTTTCCCTTCACGTGAAAACACCAACCCTCGCTCTAGCAAAATTCCCCCTAACTGCCTATAAAAAAGGGGCCCCTGAAAAAATGCAAAAAAAATTTTTGGACAGGGGCTTCTGTCGAAAACCCCCTTAAATTGAATGCCAAACCCTGGGTCGCCCCTTTAACCGGTTTTCTCTTTAAACTGCCCCAAAGATACAAAGTTTTTGCGCAAGAAAAAAATTTCCCCCCAAAAATTCCCCCAAAACCCAACGCAAAAAACCCCATAATGCATCCCTTTTACGTTTTCATAAGGTCTCCAATCCAGACCCCAAAAACCCCCCTCCCCCCCTTCCCCCTTTGCTCTATAAAACTCCAAAAAAACTCCAGGGCCCTTCATACATTGATTCCCCGGTTTTCCATTTTTTGCCCTTTTTCCCAATTTTATTTCCCAAAAAAACCTGTTTGATTCTTTTCCCCTTATCCCCTTGGGCAAATAACTTATAATAAACCGCACTAAGCGATATTGCACGGTAATTTCTCCCGTGATCTTTTCCCCCCCCCCCCTTTGGTAATAAAACAACCCCCATTTTTCCTTTTTTGCTCCCCCAAATTCCCCCCATCTTTTTTTTCTTTTACATTGAACAATTGATTTAAAAAATCCCCTCAATATTTCCCCTGTTCTTAACAAAAAACCCCATTAGGAAACCCGTTACACCTGGTGCCTTACCTAAATTTCCCTGCTAAAAAGCTTAAAAAATTTTTCCCCTTCCGAAAATCGTTTCCCAAAAGTCCCCCTATCTCTCCCATCAAGTCGATTGCAATAACCACCCTTTTCCCCTTTAAAAGTCATCTCTTTATACCCACGGTTGTGCATATGACCTAAAACCATCGTCAATATATCCACTCATCCCTTCAGTCGAATCAATCCCTTTGCCCTTCCCTATCCCCTCCCACCCCCACAGGGAACATTTAAAATCCCTCCCCGGTGGCTCCCTCCTTTTTGCGCCCCCTTAACGAAAAGGGGGGGAAGGGCCTTTCCCGTTGAAAACCCTTCCCCCAAGTTCCCAGCCACCCCGTGCCCATAAATCGTTTTCATTATGAAAATTTTTGGGTACGTTGCTTTAAACCCTTTTTTCCCCCCACAGGGTATCTGCCCCCTCCCCCAATAAAATTGGTAACTGTCCTTCTAAATCCCCCTGAACCCAAAAAAAATTTGGGATTACTTTCCCTCCAAGCCAAACATAAAAATTCCCCAAATTTACGTTTCTTAGCCACCACATCCCCCCACCTAACCAAGTCTCCACCCCCAAGGACCCCCTGCTAAAAAAACCCCCCCCAAAAACACTAAAAAGATTTCCTATTTTTCCCCCCCTTTTAACTTTTTAACTTTCCAATTTCCAATAACACAACCCTTGGGAAATCCCTCCCCCCCTGAGCCACAAAAAATCCTCTTTGATCAAAAAAACCCCACATCAAAAAATACGCACACTATTAACTCCGATGGGGGTGTTACACTTAAAATCTTAAAAGTCGCGCCCGCATATCCCGCGTACAAAGTATGCTTCAACCTCTCCCCCCCCCGCCCTTTAATCCCCCCTGACTTTAATCCCCCAAACCCCCCCTGAAATTTCCCACTTCCCCGAGGTTCTACATTTTTTCGCCGGAAAGAAATTTCCCAAAATCCCCCCCTTTAAAATGGAAACTTCGGGGATTGACCTAAAATAAAAAATTAACCACCTCTTTCACAAAGTTTGGGCTTTTACACGCCCATCATTCTGGCTGGCCCAAATACCCCAACACAAAAGCCCCCTTCACCCGCCCCCATAGTCCTTCCCCTTTTTACCCTTTCCCCTCCCCCCTTAATTTTTTTCTCAAAAAAAAAGGTCGTCTCCCTGATCATGAGGGCCCAAAGGGCCAC